TTGCTTTCCCCCCCCCCCAACTCTGGCCGCGCATTTTTTCATCCCTTTTTTTCATCTTCTCTGTGTGCTCAGTTTGTCAGTCGTGCTGCGTCGTCAGTCGTGCTGCTCTTTTTCTTCATCTTCATCTGGGGCGAGGTCCCACTAGCAAAGAGGATTGGATTGAATGCCTGCATCTGAACATGTTTGGGAAAAAGGTGCAGAAAATCGAGATTGAATTGCTTTTCTGCACCTCTGCTTAAAACACGTCCAGATTCAGGCAGCTAATCCAATCCTCTTTGCGAGTGGGACCTCGCCCCGGGTCTCGCAAGAGTCGAGCCTCTTGGAAAACTATTTTCTTTTTTTTTTCTTTTTTTTTGGAACAATATGCTCCTCTTCAGTTCTTTTCCCTCCTTTTTTAATATTTTTATACTAAAATAAAAATATAATACGAGCCAGGAAACGGGCCTGGGTCCTTTCTACCGTAGTCTTCCAACAAGAACATGAAGCAAACACTGCATCCTGTACAAAAAGGGCCTTAACACACCGCTGTCGAAACGGAAAAAGAGCGAATGCATCTTCTGGCAGAAAATGGCAAGGTGCATTTGTTGCTATCCATAGTAACGGATGCATCTTGCCGCTCTTCGCAGGCACATGCACTGGTGCTCCTTTCGTCTCGACAGTGGCGTGGCGAGGCCCAAAGTCAAACATCTGCCACAGTGCCAAATTTGATCTGATCACTCGCAGTCCCCGGGGAGCGCAAAAAAGGAAAGAACGAATACCTGGGCACTCGGTTAGTCTCCACAGTAGGAGGGCAGCAGTAGGAAGGAAGTGGGGTCCGGAGGGAGTGTCATATTCGAAAGGGAGCAATAGCTCCACCACCCCGCAGTAGGGGTGGTCTGGATTCCTCAGACAACCGTCTCGGTCTGGGTTATTTTGAGAGAGATTAAAGCTGTTCTCTTCGGGGGTTGGTCCCCGCGGGCTCATCCCGTAAGCGAAACTGGGTAATGCTCCCAGAGTTTTTGGTTCACTTCCGGGTAGACTGTGAGGACCCCGGCCTCAATTTTTTACTGGAAATATAAGCCTTGGGCACAGGGCCCTGAGTTGGAAAAAAAAAAAAAAAAAAAAAAAAAATGGAAAGAACACGCACACAGAACGGAGTACGTATCGACAATTGATCCCAACAAACTGCGCGTACAACTCTCTCTCTCTCTCTCTCTCTCTCTCTCTCTCTCTCTCTCTTTCTCTCTCTCTCTCTCTCTCTCTCTCTCTCTCTCTCTCTC